GTTTTTTCTTAATATCTCAAAACGTATTGAGAATTTGTAATACGTCAAAGATGCAAAGTTGTTCAAAATGTAAAGCTTAATCTATAGGTGTTGTCAAAATTCGTCCGGCGACGTCACTTCCATTCAAACCGGAAGTAGTCAAAAATTGCATATTTTTGCCGTTCTTTACAGGTTTTGGGTTACATATTCACTGGAAGCTTAAATCTTAATTTTCTGTCCGTCGACGTCACTTCCAGTCAAACCGGAAGTAGCCAAAAATTGCTTAATATTGCAATAATTAATATAGATTTGGAGGATTAAACCATTTTTGGACTTCATTAATCATTTTTTTTTCTAAAATGAAAGTTGCAGATGTACTTCAGGTCAAACAGGACGGAAGACCTACTCGTTGCTTTGCAACGAGGTCGGCTCTAGTTATTATTATTATTCTGAAGCAACGATGTCAAAACTTATTGTATGATGTTCTCCATCTGTCACAATACAAATAAAGCACTCAATTTAACATTTTGAAGCAATTTAAATTTTTTGAAAAATTTAAATCGTTTAAATCTCAATCTATTTGACCTTTGAGAGATTTCAAAACACATTGTATAAAGTTCTCCATCTGTCAAAACACAGATATTATACTCGATTTTAAATTTGGAAGAAATTTGTTTTTTTTCTTTTTATTTAAATCGTTTAAATCTCACTCTATTTGACATTTGAGAGATTTCAAAACTTATTATATGATGTTCTCCATCTGTCACAATACAAATATAGCACTCAATTGAACATTTGGATGCAATTTAAATTTTTTGAAAAATTTAAATCGTTTAAATTTCACTAAATTTGACTTTTGAGAGATTTCAAAACACACTGTATGAAGTTCTCCATCTGTCAAAATACAGATATTATACTCGATTTTACATTTGTAAGAAATTTAAATTTTTTGAAAAATTTAAATCGTTTAAATCTCACTTTTTTCGACCTTTGAGATATTACAGAACACTTTGTGTGATGTTCTCCATCTGTCAAAATGCAGATATAGTATTTGATTTTACATTTTGAAGCAATTTAAATTTTTTGAAAAATTTAAATCGTTTAAATCTACACTATTTGACCTTTTTAAGTTCAAAACACATTGTATGATGTTCTCCATCTGTCAAAATACAGGTATAGTATTTGATTTTACATTTGAGAGAAATTTAATTTTTTTTTTAAATTCTAATCGTTTAAATCTCACTCTGTTTGACCTTTGAACGATTTCAAAACACATTATATGATGTCCTTCATCTGTCAAAACACAAATATAGTACTCAATTTCTCAACTGGGAGCAATTTAAATTTTTCCAAAAATTTAAATCGTTTAAATCTCACTCTTTTCGACCTTTGAGAGATTTCAAATACATTGTATGATGTTCTACATCTGTCAAAATACAAATGTAGTACTTAATTTTTCATTTTGAAGCAATTTAATTTTTTTTTAAATTTAAATCGTCTAATTCTCACTGTATTTGACATTTGAGAGATGTCAAAACACGTTATTGTGATGTTCTACATCTGTCAAAATATAGTAATAATAATACTTGATTTGACATATAAATTTTTTTTTGAAAATTTAAAATCGTTTAAATTTCACTCTATTTGAAGTTAGAGGGATTTCAAAAAAACTTATGTGTTGTTCTCGATCTTTTAAATACGTATGTAGTCCATTTTTAAACAATTAGGAGCCAATTAAAAAAAAAATTGAAAAATTTAAATCGATTTGATTTCACTCTATTTGACCTTTGGACGATTTCAAAACATATGGTCTGATGTTCTCTATCTTATAAAAACGCATTAAAGTCCTTGTTTTACATTTGAAAGCAATTTAAATTTTTTGAAAAAAAATTGAAACGATAAAATCTCACACTTTTGACGTTTTCGAGACTCCAAATAAATTGTATAATATTTCTTTAAATCGAAGGATATAGGCCAAAGATCAAAGAGTTCATTCAGCCGCACTGACCGCAAGCGTCCTTGATAATGAGTTCGGCATGTTCTGTCAAAGCAATATGCTTAAATTCCTGAGTTCATAATTTCTTTATTATTGCAGTTACAATCTAAAAAAAATATACCGTTGAAAAGCTCTCAAAAAGATCTATTTAATGGTTTTAATTTTTTTAAAATCGGTCAAGAAATGAAAGAGAAATGACTTTTTACAGAAATCAAAGGATATCCACCCAAGATCAAAGAGCACCGAAGAGTGAATTTGACATGTCCTGTCAAAATGAAGGTATAACTTACCTGAGCTTATATTTTCTTTATTAGTGCACGTACAATAAAAAGAAATATACCGTTGGAAAGGTCTTAAAAAGATCTATTTGATGGTACAAAAAAATTTGAAATCGGTCAATAAATCAAAGAGTTATGATTTTTTAAAGAAAATTCCTAAGAGTACACTTGCACTAAAGTGACCTAAACACACCTGAGCTTATATATTGTTTATTATTGTACTCAAACACAAAACAAATACATTTTTGGAAAGCTCTTGCCAAGATATATCTGATGGTATAAAAATTCTTTTAATTAGATTAAAAAAATTTTATGAAAAATACAAATTTAAAATTTAAAAAATTTAAATGTCTTCTTAAAATTTCAGAACTCAGATGCTCTTGTTAGGATTACATTCAATCATTCCTGAAAATTTCAAATCTCTTTTTTGCGTTGTTTTCTCAGAATATGAGATACCAGAATTGCAGCAAAATGTCAAAAATATGTAATATTTAGGGAACGGAACTGATTTTATAAAAAATGAAAACAAGAAGTCAATAGAGAACATCGTCCCCTATCATCTCTGGAAGTTTTATAAAAATCCACTGAAACGTTACTGAGATACCGGTGTAGAAAAAAAAAAATTACTACTTGATGCCCCTAGATACGTAATATATGACGTCAACAGTATGATATATAGTTGTAGATTATTAAGAGGAACATTTTTGTTTCAATAATGTATCATAAAATATTGATCGTTCAAGAGTTAGAATACAAATCAATTTTTGTCCTTTTTGTCCCTAATTTGATGATTCAGCACTTTTTGATTGACATCATTTGAAAGAACTTTTCATTTTGCACAAATATTATTCAGTATGTTTTAACAAAATGTCTATACTTTTTAAGATATGATACAAAATGTCTCGAAAATTCACTACTTATTCGTTTCCTAAATTTCAACCCCTAGGCCGTTTCCATACTAAACATCTTCGAAAAATTTGAAAACCCAGGTGCATCATGGGATTATGTCCTCTATCATCCCTGAAAATTTCAGCTTTCTAGCTACTACCATTTTTGATTTCCAGAGCCGACAAGGAGACCCTCTAAAATTCACTAAAAGAGCGATAACTTCCGACCGGAAGTGAATTTTTCAAAATTGAATTGCCGGTACAAACTTCAGATAGAAACACATAAAGTCTAAAAATTTGAATTGAATCGATCCAGCCATCTCTGAGAAATCCTCTGCACAAAATCGGTAAGGAGAAAAAAGAATAATAAAAGTGAAAAAGAAACAATACAATAATAGAAGGGTCTTCCGTTGGAGACGGAAGACCCTAATAATAGGGAAAAAGAAACCGAACGAAAACAATAAGGTCTTCCGTTGGAAACGAAAGACCTTAATAATAGGGAAAAAGAAATCGAACGAAAACAATAAGGTCTTCCGTTGGAAACGGAAGACCTTAATAAGAGTTATCCTTCCTGGTTGAGGAGCGGATAACCTTAATAAAATTTAAAGTTCTTGAATGAAACATATAAATGCATATTTAAATTCCTTTTTTTATTCTAAGAAAAAAAAAGTCGTAAAGTAGAACGATCAGATATTATTGTTAATGTCACAAGCCAGGAGATGCACTGAAAGTGTTAGGTATTGTGACCTGCATCGTGTTACATTCAAAAAGCATTACTGCTGCGTTTGGCGTTTACAGGTACAATATAAAGATCCATTGATAACAAGTGTCTGAATTGGGTATAAATTAATACTTAATTTGCATACTGCTTTCTGCAACAAGTTTTCCACCCGTGAAATGAATTGCAGCCAATCTTATGTGTAAATATATTTAATACATGCAGATATGCAACTTATTTTACTGCCACCCGTTGTAGATAATTTTGCTTGATATACCAGTAACTGAATCAGTCTGGATGATAATTTCATATCAATCAGACTTTAAATAATGGCATCTACTGTACATGTAAATATGTACATTATTCTGTACTAGTACTTGAAAAGCCTCCGTTCAACTGATTTTTATGCGCAGATCAGGGGCATATATTGTTTTGTCCTGTCTGTGTGTTTGTTAATTAACCTTTGCCATAACTTTTGAACCATGAAAGATAGAGACTTCATATTTTGTATGCATACTTCAACAATTAAGATCTTTCAAATGACACCAAGGTCAATGGCCTTGTGACCTTGACTGTGACCTATATGCTAAAAATAACTTTTTATCTGCAAACTTTAACCGTCGCCATAACTTTTGAACCATGAAAGATAGAGACTTCATATTTAGTATGCGTACTCCACTAATTAAGCTCTTTCAAATGACACCAAGGTCAATGACCTTGACTGTGACCTGTATGCTAAAAACAGATTTTTCGTACCTTCGCCACGACTTTCGAACCATAGAAGATAGAGACTGCATATTTATAGTACGCATACTCCACTAATTATTCTCTTTCAAATGACACCAAGGTCAACGACCTTGTGACCTTGACTGTGATCTGTATGCTAAAAATAGTTTTTTCGTACCTTTGCCATAAATTTTGAACCATATGAGATAGAGACTTCATATTTGGCATCCATACTTTACCAATTAAGTTCTTTCAAATGGCACCAAGGTCAATTGCCTTGTGACCCTGACTGTGACATATATGCTAAAAATATCTTTTTTAAAATTGTGTTGCCGCCGGGTGCATAGTGTTTCACAAACACATCTTGTTTTTTTTTTCTATTTCATTATTGAGTACATACAAAAATGACATTGAAAAAGAGAGACTAGAATTTTAATGAGATAATGTTACGTCCTGATTAATTTGACCCGGTCCACGTTTTACTATCAAGGTCAAATTTAATTTAGTTTACTCGAAGAAAAATTCAAGAACTTTCTTTCAATGTATAAATCAGTCTTTGTTGTACCCATCATCACCGCGTAACACAACAAGGCGGTGTAATCAAACAAGGTTCCCCAGAAGTCAATAAAAGCTATTTTCCATCTCCATTTGTTAGCAGCCTGGATAGTGTCAGAGGCAATGAAAAGCAGACTTCCTAAACATGGCATTAAGGTAGAAAACTGTAGTCCCTCTTTTCGCAGACGACAAGTCGAACGCCATCCAACGGTATATATGAGAAGTAGGTGGAACAATACAAAGATATCCATTATGCCGTCATCGATAGAATTCATGACGAATGAAAATGACACAAATCCAAAAAACATAAATATATATTTCACTCGGCTATTTGTAATTTCCTGTTGGACAACGAGGGAAAAGTAAAACTGAGCAATTGTGAAACAAAGCATCCCATCCTCCATTAAGTCTGTGTCGAAGATGAAGAAGATGTCCCCAAGACTGAAGAAGAGCAAGCCAGTGATCATGTTTTGATGATCGTAGCTTTTAGGGATAATATGTGTCAGTTTTTCACGTGAGGAAAGTCGTACATATACAATTAAAACCCACACCGGAAGTGCCTTTGCTATGGCTGCAGTCCAGGTTTGTGGCGGGAAGTAAATTAATGGCTGGAACAGAGTGAAGTAAGCTGCGACTGTGATATAAAAAGGGTACATCACCTTGGACGTCAAGCGTTTCTTTAGTAAAGGAAATACTGAAAGTATAGAAAAGTAAAAGTCGGATAGCTAGAACTTGAAAAAAAATTATGTTCATGTTGACTTAATTTTTTAACCGAATTGTGACATTTTTCTCTGCTACCAGTCGGTATGCGCTGGGTAAAATGAATTCGAGTGTGACGTGTCATGTAAAATGAGACAGTTTCAATATAAATTATATTAATAACTGTTTAAGCAGCTGACTGCTACTTAAACGACTTCAAATACTGAATACCGAAAGGTAGTCATTCTTCTATTTTGAATAACCATGCAATTTAAACCAATATGAGAAATACTTACATTTGTCTGTCGACGACATTGTCAAGGTCCTATAAATATGAATGTTCTTCCTCTTCTGAAAACAACGGAAAACAACACACAACTTAAGTACTTCACTCGTCGATTATGTAAAATAAGTAAAAAAAAAAAAAAACTACAGCTCAGCTCGATTCTGACTGATGAGCTGTGAGAACAGTGGTGACGTGATGTGCAAATTAATTGAAATCTTTAAAGTTTAACACAAATCTTATAAAAATCGAAACACTACCAGTTCTGATCTGAGCTGAACTGATGAGAAGAAAACAATAATGGATGTATACAACTACTGAAAGGGAAATCCAGAAAATTATACAATCAACAATAGTTTTACTGCATAAACTTGTTTATCATGTGTACAACCAGAGAAGTTCGGAGTTGAAAGATTCTACGAAAAACCATAAAAAAAAAACCTTCGATCAAGGAAGGAATTGCTTTGTCATGTACAAGTAGTATTTGGGTTCTATACGGTATCATATAAATTTTATGCCATTTCTTGTTGTTGAATGAGTAAGTTCTTACCTGTATAGTGGTGGGTAGAGGGAGGGTTGTAGAGATATCAATCGGGTGAACTATGGAGATATTTGATCGCCCTCATAACCTGCACTATACAATGCAGTCTGTTTAAAGAGATTTATATTACGGGTGAGGAATGTCTTATCTTTTTACGACATGTTTACTTTGGAAATTAATCTTTCTTTTCCCTACTAACCCCTTTCTAGTGTGTACTGAATTTAAATATTTAGGTAATTATTGTCGACTTTTTCGATACACAACAATGGGGTCACGCACATGTTTATACACATTGACTCTCCTGGTTAGCTCATTGTTAGACTAGTTTTGAGACTTAATTTTTTTTCTTAACGAATGCACGTATGTTCATCTATATTTGTAATTTGTCTCTACTCTGTACTTAATGTCAGTTTGTGAGAATAAATTCATTGTTATTGTACACCCAGAGAGAGAGAGAGAGAGAGAGAGAGAGAGAAAATAATTAAGTAACTAGTGTATGGCATTTAAAGATGGAACTCTCTTTTTCATCCCACTATCTGCCAGGAGGAAAGGAAAGCTCATTGGTAACAATTTAGTATCCCTTATACAAAAAATAAATAAATTGGCAAACCACATTACGTGTTCCACTAATTGGTGCATTTAAATATGCTTTATTCGGTACTTGTATATTACTTTAATATTTAATACTTATTCATTCTTGTATTGAAATGCTAGGAAAGACCTATATTGATACAAACTATTGTATAAAAATCATTCTCAACTATTTAAATAGTTAAGTCTACTGTCGCCTTTGTGTGGTTTGCTCTCATTTTGGGTCTGATTTGATAACTCCATCTCGACACCACAGGGTCTGCTATATCTATTTCAAATCTGGATCTTTTACTAACTAAGGACGATAAGGGACAAATATAACTGTTTGACAATCGAGTTGACTTTGTCAACTTTCCGTATTTCGCCCGTTATGCAAATTATCCCATGTTCCCCACAATCGTTGATGCCCTGGCATACTATACTAACTGGACAGTGATTCCTTAAACATATCACTAATATTAACCTACATACATACATGTATATGGTGTTAATATACGCCTTCCAACTTATTCGATACACAAGAGCATGATTCGAGTACGATCATTTTTTTAACCGAGACAGGCTACTGACAGATACGTTGAAGTTACCGGGATTTTAAATTTTTTACGTTTTCCAGGCTTTTTTTCACGATTTTGATATTTACTTCCCAGGAAAAGGTTATAATTTAGGAACCGGTGCCATTACGAAAACTGGGAATTCGCCGTCTCCAACCAGAGGCGGCATTTTCCGTGTGATTTCAGATACTAGTATTCTCTTTAGAAAAATGGACGGGCTTTCACCTACATCGGATGTACATGTAGGCGAAAGTCTGCACACTTCTATAAAGAGAATAGGTTAAGATACTTGTTAGTACTCACCAACACCGTTTTATGGTTCGTTTATAAAAAATATGCATTTCGATGAAAACATTTTATTTTACTGTCGAGACTTGTTTTCATTTTGTGAATTTAACTGAAACTTTTATCTATTGAGAAGTCAATGGCGCGTTTCAATACTCCCCCTCAACATTGAAACGAGCCATCGACTTCTCAATAGAGAATAAACTGAAACGAGCCATCAACTTCTCAATAAGAAAAAAAAACATGAAGGGGTAATCCAGAGATCCATTAAATTGTCTACATATATATACAAATAAAAGTAAACAACTTATTTTTTTTTCTCCCATATTCTTGACATCGATCCTTAAAGAACTATGTCCCGAATATAATCCGGATTATATCGTTCCAACCGTATCGCCTCTCAATCTTATGTTTACAACATGGCTTCCAAAAAGAAAGTCAAAACACGTGTGAAAGATGTTCATCTAGATTTCAAGACTGTCAGTGAGTTAGGTGGAGATAAGGTATTTGTTTATCATAAGACACATTAAATGGCATATCCCTTTATGTGGATTCCTAAAAATTATTTTCCCATGATGAAATTTATCATGAAAACTAACATGTCCTGTTCAATATCTTAAGGGGGATGTACAAGCCATATTGGATCTAGTCTGGTGTAAAATAAGAAATACCAAGAATGCGCTTAATACTGTACTAAACTAGCCCAAAGTTACTCAAAGTGCTAATGCACTAATTACCTACTGTTAGAGACCAAAATCAGTTAATAATTAAGTTTATTTTGTTTTAATTAGGAGGAAATTAATCATGTTAGAACTGCGCAGCTTCAGCATTCACGAGATGAAAAATGCATTGAATATAGTGTTAGTTTGATTCACTGATAATATGGCTACAACCATTTGTTTCGCTTTTTTCTTGTCATAATCCATAATTCTTGAAAATTTGATTTTTCATATGGGTGTCTTCCTGAGGCCATGTGTTTATTTCGTCCGCCATTCCTCTGTCACACAGAGTTCGAATAGCATTGGTTTTAGAATAAATGCGACCATAATAACATCAAGACAAGAAATTACTAAGCAATAATCATTAGGTTATATTACTTACTACTTTTATTTGTTGCATTGCATCGTCTGATTAATGAAAAAAGGCTATTTTAACCCAATTCCAGCAAATCGGGAAAAACTGTTCTGTTTACAGCTCGAGTTTCCTCGATAATATCATTCCACTGAGCACGTGGTTGGCATGTGCATATATCTGCTGTGGATAGATGCGTTTATTACCATGATTATATTTAATTTTTCATGGAACAAGTCTTGATGATTTGTTGGTTTCTTTAAAACTCAAGAAAAAAGATAAAAAATGTCCTAAACATATGTGTTTACGGTGGGTCTCTTTTCTGAGGCAATCGAAGTTATTTTCAAATGGGGCACTGCAAGGAGGATTCTTAACATTTAATTTCAAAATGTTAAACAATATGCAGTGCATGAAAAACAAATTGTAATTACATGTCTTACATTCGAAAAGTTGGTACATGTGTCTATTTTGTTTAGCAGTTAGATAGAGAAAAAAAAGGCAGTTATAGGATTTCCTTCAGGCAACTCACATAAATAGCTAGATTGTTTGCAATGAACCACACATTGTATGGAGTAATGTTTGGACATAAAAACGCATCATGTCTCATTATGTTGACAACATGGTAAGCTCTCGCTCATTGAACATACGAAGCTTGATAAAATATATTGAGTTATTTCTTTGAAATTTAGAAGCAAGCACAATGTTTGCAAAGAAAAGTCCATTGCATATGATATGTCTATCACGCAAAAAAATGAGAGGCTACCCCCCCCCCCCCCCAAAAAAAAATCCTATGTTTGTTTTTCAAAATAGTGTCAAAGATTAAAAAATTTTGCATTACTAAGTATGTGATGGAACATGTACTAGCCTTATAAGACAATTTGTTATAAAAATATTTGGTTGCCCTCTCTCCCGATCTACTGCCTAGAAATGGCCCGACTCAATTTTTTTTTACATCCCATTACATGTTTTTTTTTTTCTTCCGTCAACGAATATGTTTAAAATTTTAGGAATTTTTTCTCACCTATGAATACGGACCCAATAATTTTTCCCTGAGTTGGGAGGACCACCAAACGTCATTTTAAAGATGGTATAAAATATTTCTTAATGTTGATTTTTTTCTTTACTCTGTAGAATTGTAATTTTGACAAAAAGGGCAAATAGAAAAAGTTTTTTTATTCATTAAATCTCCTAACCCACTCTGAATGATTTCATTCCTTTTCAAATGTTGCTCCGCTAAAATCAAAATTGTAAATGTTTATTTGACAGAGTATACGAGGGTAGATCAAAAAGTAAACGATATATCTTAGGTATTTGATAGTTATATTATTGTTGAAATATTCAAGTATTTTTCAAAGTGTAAATTGGAGGTCTTTGATTTTCAAAGCGTAAATTGGAGGTCTTTGATAGCATATTGCTAAATTAAAAACACACCCCTTTTCAAACTTGCTAATATATCACTTGGCAATAAAACAAGTATCATATTTAACCATCTGCCTTCCTTCACTAAAACGATCTATCCAGTCATTGACTGAATTTGTAGGAAGCCATTTGTCTTAATAAACTATGAACAAATTCTTATATGCTACTTCAAAGGCATTTTTAAGATATACCATAAATATTTTAGTCGTTTGTTAAACGAGTTCCACTGAGGCAACCATTTTTCGTCACAAGTACCTGCATATTGACGTCATTATGAGCAAAACTTTATTCAGCATATGCTATTTTATAAAACTTGTGTTTGGCTATGTGTGCACCGAATTTGTTTCTAATCTGAATTGTGGTTTTGTAGATATAGAGATAGTTCGCGAACTTTGTGATCACCCCTCGTACTAGTAGGTACTAAATCAAGGTCATTCATATCGATTTTATGTGTTTAATTTCTTTGTGTTTCATTGGTGATAATTAAAATTTTGATATATATTATAAGTTATCTGTGGCAAACTTACAAACTCTTAATTCTTAACTTTGATGGTGCTCATTTTTCCTTACCTGGAATCAAAGAGTTTAAGATTTTTTTCTTTGATATCAATAAGTACATTATTTAACAACTGTTCGATAATAATTACTAAATAAATTACTTCAAGCCATACTATAACACATTTCCTCTTTTAAAAGTATTCATACTATTTGAAATATTTTGTATTTACTGCTGTAATTCTCTTCTACATTTAAAGATTGTTATGTCCCTCCATATTAAGAAGAGGTCTGGAAAACAAACTTCTGTGCTAAAAATAGACCACGTGCTGCTATCCATGAACTACTTTCATGGTTCTTTACACTCTTTTTGAAGACAACGATACCTTGTTTTGAACTTGAAATTATCATTTAAAAGTGCAAAATTTAGACATTTTCTCAACAAATGGTTGTAGAGAGAACATTGATGCACAGTTTGCATATTTTTTTGGATTTTTTAAGGCTCAGCTGAATTCTGTAGCTGCGCAGTTCTAAGGAGCATATCAAAAGCATTTTTCTGCAAAAGTATAGATTATATATGCACAACATGCATTCAGTTATTAATATTTATTGTATCTTTATCATAAGGACTTAAAATTTGATCAAAATATGATGTATTTTAGCCATTTGAA